CCTCGCGCGGTGGGGGGAGGGGCCCGCGCGCTCCCATCCCCCCTCGCCTGGCTCGCGCGTGCCTCCCTGCTGTGCGCCCGGGGGTGGGCGGGGCAACGGCCCCGGCCCAGCCGCGGCGGGAGCCCGGGGCAGCCGCTCGTCGCGTGTATAGCGGCCGCCCCTTCTCCCGCTGCCTTCACGCCCGGGCCCGGGGTCAGACTCGGCTTATTCTTCGTTCCCTGCTGTGCCACTGTTAACTTGCTTTGCTGCTTTCGTCCTTCTAGAGAGTCCACGCTGCCGTGGTGTTAGCGTCCCCAGTGTGCGACAGAGTGACAACGGGTGAGTTGTGGCCAGCTTCTGGCAGCCTTGGTTTGAGATCGGCCCTATGACAGTGTTAGTCCCTTTCTGTGTCGTCCTGTGTTTCCCTGGCAGGTGGAAACCTTCATTCCTGTTTGAAACTATTACTTAATGAAGTCTTTTCCTTCACTGAATACATCCATAACTTCTAACCTCTTCTGAGGTGTCTTTCAGGGTCTCAGTAAGCAGTCAAGTTTCCTTTTGTAACTTGTCGCCTCGTCCATGGGGTCAGTGTAGCTCGCAGCCCTGCATGCTGCGCACCTGGCTTGTCTAAAAAGCAGGCTTTAGACGTGCATATTCCTTTAAGGCCTGGCAATAGAATAGTTAAGTTTGTGGGATATGCTTTAGAGTATTGCTAATGTATAAAAGTAACTTTTGCTGGGTTTTTTTCGTTCTTTTTTTAATAGATCCCAGTTACAGAAGATAACGCATCTGAACGATTTTTACCTTCTGCCATGGCTCAGTTTGGAGGACAGAAGAACCCCCCTTGGGCTACTCAGTTTACAGCTACTGCAGTCTCTCAGCCAGGTCAGTTAGTACATTGCTTGTATGTATATTTGAACCCTGACGTTTAGTTGAATTGCAGATTCTGTAGTTAAAGGCATGTGTAAGAATAACCCATTGCTGATGGTTGTTGCCTATATTGCTTTGTGTAAGATAATGGGTGAATGGTATCTATCTCTGATCTTTTAGGCATTTGGTTAGCAAACAATTATATATAAAAGTTATATATTAATATGTTTTCTAAAATGACTAAGAGTTAGAGATGCAACTATCACTCACCCATCACCCTACCAGAAGGATGATAGATCTCGATTGTTTGTTAGCACTGGGTTATTTTTATCCAAAGTTGTGAAAACCAAACTCCCACTCTCAAATTCAGATGGGATTAGTAAGGCATTATGGGCATCAAACCAAGGTTTTGCATTTTGTTTTGTTCTTTGAGTGTAACCCCAACACTACTTTATATATTTAAAAAATATATATTGTAAGGGGTTATTTGAGAATTGCTCATGTAGATGGGGGGTGGAATGTATTTGTATTTTTGCGTGTCAGTTGGAAACCCTTCCTCAAAATACTGTGCATCAAAGGCCTAATCTTTCTGGTTAGAAATAATGTTTTTCAGTTGTTAGCTAGTTATCTTGGTGTGATGGAAAAGCCCTGTCAAACTATAGCTTAAAAATGTTAAGATATGTTAGCTACCTGTGTTTTTTGGCATATACTATCTCCTAGACTTGGTATATGGAGGCTTCCAAGTAGAAAAATGAACCTGAATGTTGCTGCGTGAAGGATTTTAGTATTTCTGTGACTAGATGTGGTGGGACGTAAGAAGAAAGGGGGAGGTACTCTGGAATTAAACATTTTAACTTGTTAAAAGCTGTTCTGAAGAGATTGGTCCAACATAGTTTTGGCAGTGTGAGAAGTACCATATGACAAGATGTTAGTGCAGGCAACGTCATTTTAAAATTTAAGATCTGGTCCTGCAGGCAGTTCAGTCTCATGAAATTCAAATTGACCCTGCCTTGGGGCAGAACGAGGGCGTGTGCCACTCCACTTTGTTTTGAATTCTTGAGGGCGACTTGTTATTCCTTCTGTTAGCACAACTGAGGAAAGTAGTTTTGCTCTTCCTGCCTGTATACCTCTTTGGAAGTCAAGGACTCCAATCCAAGGGCTTTCAGAATTGGTCTTGCTGCCATCTGTGGTGGTGCTTTTATCTTGCTGTGGCACCTCTGGGATCTGTTAAACTTCTGTGGTTGGTCTTCCTCCCAGCAGAGGTATTGAGATTGTCTCTGCTCTCACCTTAGGCAGTCTCAAAACATTTATGTGTTGGTATTGTTCCATGTGAGCTGTCTGCAGCTTCCTTTTTGCTCTTTGTAACATAGGCAGTTAGGTTGTGTTTTCACTGGTTTCCTTCTCTGGTGGAGAAGGTGTTTTCACAGGGGCTCTTAATAAGGTTACAATGTCAAGTGTTCAAAAGTTAGAGAATGCTTGTGAAACAGTCCCCTTGTGTGAATATTATTGTGGTGCAGTTCTTGGTCATGTGTACCCTGTGCTCCCTTTCTCTGCTCCCAAATCCCTGCTTTATTCCTTACGTAGAGTGAAAAGTGCTTAGATCTGAGCAGCTATTCAATATTTTCTTTCATCCTCACTAGTTAATATGTCATCCTAAACCATGTTTAGTGTATGCTTTCAGACCAGGATTTTAGATTTCCTCATTGGTTTTTCTAGGGCTTCACAACTTTTTTTTTTAACAACACCACTGTGAGATGGTGTATTATTCTCACTTTACAGGTAGAGATCCAGGTTAGGAAAGTGTGTTATTCACTACTTCTGCATGCCCAGCCAGTCTTCCTTTAGGTATTTTCCAATTTTTACTGTTCAGCCTTTATACTTTTTTAAATGTAGCCTGTGTGTATTATTTCTACGGCTTTATAAAAAACAAACTGGGGTACAATCAGATGTTGTATTATGATATCATATTAGGATCATAGGAAAGTTGTGCTGGAAAGATCTCATGACTAGTTGTCTTCATGAGGTCACATACTCCAGCCCACTACTCAAAGCAGGATCATCCCTGACTAAACCACCCCAGCCAGGTCTGTCTGTCTAATCTCCTTTCAAAAGTTTTTAGGGATGAAGATTCCACACCTTTAGTAGTCTTTATAGAATCACTATTTGAGCCATTAGGACAGTGGTTCTCAAGCTTGTTAGATTTGACATACCTTTAGGAAAATACTGTGTTTTAGCTCCCACCCCCTTTTTTTTGACTACATAAAAATAATAGAGCAGTTAAAGACCACAATAGTCAGAATTTCTGACACTAGGAATTCCTATTTGAAATCTCTGGGTTTGTCTTGTGAATCACGTGTAGGTGTTTGCGCACATGGCAGTGCTAATGTTCAGTGGCCCTTAAATGGATCATGTGGCACCCTGGTTAAGATTCTCAATCGGTTATAACAAGAAAACTAGGTGAAACCTGAGCTTATTAAATGGTATTTCATGTGTTAGGTATGTCCTGCGTCTTGGTCCTAAATTTCTGATTTAAAAAGTAAAATGAAACAGTCCAGGTGCAGTTTTTTCCCCATTCAAAATGTATGCTTATTTCCTTCCCCCTTATCTATGGAAGGGAGGCTATACGAGCAAGATTTTTAAAAATATTTTAAAGTTATTTAGGCAGAACTACACTCTTCCATAAATCCCCTTAATTGTGTAGCATATGGACAGAACTTTAACGAAGGCTGTCCTTATGCAGATTTTGTCAAAGGGGTTAAACTTTCTAGACAGACCTGCTATAATATTGCTGGTCTCTTAGACTGTTAAATCTAAGGGCATCCTCTGCACCTGGATATCTGTAAAACTGCTACAAATTTGCTCTATTAGCTTCCAACTCAGAATACTGAAAGTTGTCACAGGAAATCACTAGAAATCATGCTGCCCACCCCTGGCTCCTCATGGATGTATGCCTCCAGCTGTACACTGCATGAACATGGCCCCATCTAGGCATATGCCCCTGGACCCATGCTGCCACATGCCTCTGATGCTGCTGACTGGCTAGAGCTCTATGCTGTTGGGCAGTGGCATGAAGCTGGGGGCATGCAGCTGCACAGATCCACATTTGTATGCTGCCCACCTCTGTGCTGCTGCCCTGTGGGATGTAGCTGTGGCAGTTTGGGGGCTGTGGCAGTGCAGAGCTGAGGAGCAGAGCACTTCTGGTAGCCCACTAGCTTATTGGTGGACCAGATGCATTGGTTCATTGGGCCAGATCCAGTCTGTGGCCCTATGCTTTACACCCCTCATCTATGTTGATTAGAGTAATAAAAATAAGATGATAGTTAAGAGTGCAGAGGGCAGGGTCGTATACTTGGGAATCGATTAACAAGAACCTCTGCTCAGTGATTGAACGAGATGGGAGAAGAAATACCAGTTAATTGCACAATGAGCGTACCATAAATGTGTAATGCAAGCCATAAAGGCAGAAATGCTCTAAGTTTTATCAGCTGAGGTGTTTCCAGTAGAGAGAGCAAAATTATGAATGTCACTGTACAAGGTACTGTAGTGAGATATGATCTGGAATAGTATGTACAGGTCTGATAATCCGCAGTCAAGAAAAGTGAACTCACTTGGCTCAGGTGCAGAGAAGAGTAAAATGTGGATAATTGGGAATAGAGGACCTGTCATACAAGAGGTAACTCAGATTTTGGCTTGTTCAGGTTGGCAGGACAAAAGCTGAGGGCTGTGATTCTTCTCTATTAATGTTACAGGTAAATGGCTATGCAGAATTACTATTTAAGTTACAGGAAGTTATTGGCACAAGGACAAATAAACATAAACAAGACAGGAATATATTTAGGCTAGAAATTAGAAACTGTCTGGAACAGCTTTCCAAGTGAAGGTGTGGGTTGATGACAGGATGGCTGTAAAATGGAGCCAGATAATTTAATTAATGGGATAATATGATGCAATTACTTGGCATAGTAGGTCATCAAATCCACTCCAGTAAGAGAGGGGTGGGGCAAAAATACGGCCCGCGGGCCAGATCCAGCCCGTTCTATCTGGCCTGCGGAGCCTTTAAAAATTTTAGAAAATTTATATCTGCCTGTGGCCGCCTGTCAAAGATGATAGGTGACTGGTGGCAGCAGGACCCAGTGGGATCCTGTGGCTGAGCAACAAGGCTAGCCTGGCTCCACCCAGCCCCCCACCCCCTTCCCGCCCTCAGCCGCCAACCAAAAGCCTCTGCAGCTTCTGGCCCCTGCCTCTGCCGCTGGAACTGTTCTCCCTCCCTCTTGAGTGGAAAATGAGGTAAGAATGGTTGGAAGTGGTGGTTGTGGGCAGCTGTGGGGGCTGCAGGGAGCAGCACAGGATATGGTAGCTGTGGGGAGTGGCAGGACCCATGTTGTGCGTAGCAGGCAGTGGAGCTGCAGCGGGCAGCGAAGCCATGGTGGTCCCCGGTGGGCAGCGGGGCCACGGGAGGCCCCTCAGGCAGTACAGTGGGACCTGACAGGTGGCAAAGCTGCGGCCAGGCCCCAGTGGGTGGTGGGGCTGCAGTGGGCCCTGGGAGGCAGCAGAGCCATGGTGGGCAACAGAGCCGTTGCAGGCCCCAACAGTTTGTGGTGTTGCAGCAGGTGGCGGAGCAGTAGTAGTTGGTGGGCCCCAGCAGGTGGCAGAGCTGTAGCCGGGCCCCAGCAAGTGGCAAGAGCCAGTGGGTGGCAGAGCCACAGTGGACCTGGTAGGTGGTGGAGCCCCAGTGGGCAATGGGGCCACGGCAGGTCCCTGTAGGCGGCACGGCAGGCCCCGACAGGCAGCAGAGCCACAGCTGGCCCCCAATGGGCAGTGGGGAAGCAGTGGGCTCCAGGAGGTGGCAGAGCCACAGCAGGAGGCAGGTCCCAGTGGGTGGCAGAGCTGTGGCTGGGCCCCAGAAGAACCCAGCAGGCAGCAGAGCCCCAGCAGGTGGTGGCAGCATAGCTGCAGGGGCCTCTGGCAGATGGTGGAGCCACAGCGAGTGACGGAGTTGCAGCAGGCGGTGGAGTTGTAGTGGGGCTGCGGCACGTGGTGGACCCCAGTGGGGGCCGCGGGGAGCACTGCAGGAAGCGGGGGGCTGCAGGGAGTAGCGGGCAAGCCTGCAGGAGGGAATGCAGGGAAAGATGGTGGCAGGCAGAAACACAAAGCCTGTGCAAGTGCCCTGGGACTGGCAGAGACCCAGGGTGGGGTTGTAGAACAGCCTGGGCATGGGGTCGGCCTGGCTGCATCGTGTGAGGCTCACATGCATTGTGTTAGAGCTGCACGCTATGGAGCTGGCAGCCCAGCCCCGGCTCTCTCTCTCAGCACACACCCAGCCACCATACCCACACCCCACTGTGAGTGCACACGCACACACACTCAAACTCGCACAACTACCAACCACGCTGCCACTTACACCCCTTACTGCCCACACAAAACACACAGTAGGACTGTATTTTAAGATATTATGCAGCCACCTCTAGATACACTTTTTGTAAACACATAAATCAGTAGACAAATATTTTTAAATAAAATGAAAATAGTTATAGTAGATGTTTTGTGTGTGTGTGTGTATTTTTGTGTGTGTGTGTGTATACATATATATGTCTTTTTCACAGTTTCCAGATCACAGCACCTTTTCTCCCAAAAAGAGTACTTCAGGGGTAAGGGGAGGGACTTCCAATGGCAAAGGTCAGGGCCTAGAAGGTTGGACTTCTGGTCCCTATATGGCAACCAGGGGTGGGGCAACTGTCAAGGGTTGGGGCCACCCATGTGGCCCTCAACAGCTTCCAAAAACTTGGTAAGTGGCCCTCTGCCCAAAATAATTGCCCGTCCCTGACCTAAGAGTTCCCTTTAGGTCCTCTGTTCTTATTTAAAAAAGCACTTCTACAAACATTAACTTTGTCATGGTTTGTTTTGTTTTGGGGTTTTTGTTTTTTAATCATCTTATGAGCTAATTTAGTGGCACGTGTGCCAATCAAGGTCAGATCTGAACAGTAAATATAGCTGCTTGATATGAATTCCAATCTAAATATTACCTTTTCCTCTTCTTTGGAGTCTCAGGTTCCATGGTGAAAACTGGACAGGCTACAACTCCTATTGTTACGTATAGGTTCATGTTTTGTGCTCCATGAACAGGTGTGCATAGCCTTAAGATGTTTCTGCCTTGTCACTTAGGATTGTACAGACATCCTAGCTTTCCTTTTATAGGCAACTTTTGTTATTTCATCTTTTAGTAAAGTTCTGAGCTTTTCCTTTATTAGTAAAGGAAGTGATTTTGGTGCTAAGAACAACAGTACCATACTGGGTCATACCAGTGATCCATCTAGTGCTGTATCCTGTCTTCTACTGAGTGATCCCCCTTTTGGAGCCCTAGTTATTAGCCGTTGACCTGCACTGCCATTCCTATTTTTCATCCCTTCTTTCAAACATTTAACTCTGGTTAGAGGGGGACCACTAACCATAAATGAAGGGGGTTCATAGTTTTCGTATAACAAGTAGACTTGTCTCCGATGGTGGCAGCGTATGGTGTAGGGATGGCCAGTGTGCAGTGTAAGTGCCACAAGTGTCAGGGGCAGACTCTGTGTATAACATGAGGTAGAAGGGGGAGGAGACAAGCAGCATAGAAAGAGATAGCAGATGAGGTAGGGCGCACAGGGCAGGGAGCAGAAAGCAGAGCAACAGACTGGACAGAGGAAGGGGATCAGTGTGATAGGTAGGGTGTGGGGCTAATTGTAGCATGCCTGTCAAAAAGGTTGTTCCCCTTCCCCTGTTTTGGAGGAAGAGCATATGAACAAGGTATATGTAGGGCACTGATTCTCAGCCAGGTTGCCAGGGCACCAGAGTGCCCTGAGATCCTTTGAAGGGTGTGGTAGGAAGTGTGTCGAGATAGGGAGATTAGGGAAGGCTTAGGTTCTGGGTGTGAGGAGATAAACAGCTTAGGCTCTCCTTGCCTGGTTGTTCCGCTGGGCTTACTGCCCTACTGCCTTTCTGCAAGGAGGTAAGCACTGTAATAAATCAATTAGCTGTTGAAATGGGTTGCTGCTGAATTCACAAAAAATTCTGGGGTAGTGCCTCAAGTCTAGATCAGTGGTTCTCACCCTTTATAGAACAGTGGTGCCAAACTCAACTGGAGCCCCAGGCCAGATCTGGACTACAGGGTTCCTTGCAGGCTGGATTCAGTCTGGGATATTGGGGATGGTCACCATGAACAAGGTGGTGGTGGTGGGTCCAGAGCTGACAAGGAGTCTGGGGGTGGGGATCAGGGTAGAGCCAAGTTTATTTCTGATGGTCTTGGCCAGTGGGGACAAAGAGGCCTGCATTCTGCAGCAGTGCCACCCCCCTCAACTTCCAGTAGCTTAAGGGACTGGATAGAGAAACTCTGCAGGCTGTATGTTTGACTTGTCTGATCTAGGGTGATCTTTCCCCTGTTTTGTACCCACCCCCCCCAGCATTCACCATCATTGGTTTAGGGATGTCATAGGATACACCCCTGACTGTTCTGTTTTAATAGTTATTAGTGGATATATTGTTCATGAATTTGTCTAGTTCCTTTTTGAATTTGGCTATCTAATGTGACTACAGTCACCTCTGGCAGTGATTTCCACATAACTATATGCTGTGTAGGGAAAGAAAAAGGATTTTCTTTTATCAGTTTTTAAATGTCTCCTGTTAATTTTAGTGGGTGACCTCTATTTCCAGTATTGGGGGATTTTAGTGAATAACAGGGCATTTGTACATGTGTATACACTGCAGCGTTGGGCACTTATAAATGCCTGGCGCTGCACGGCATACATTTGTATAAACAGCAAAATGTCAGCATTGAGAAAATGGTAGCAGCGTGCTTTTGAAATAAAACACATTGAAGGTGTTTTAGTTCAAAAGCGCACTGCTGCCACTTTGTGTGCACATTATGCTGTTTGTACAAATGTGTGCGGTGCAGCGCCAGGCACATCAACTCACATTGTCTGCAGACTGGATTAATCAAGTCTGCTCTGACGCACTGGATTTCTGGTGTACCAGAATATATTCAAAATATTTTGATTGAATTTGTGATGTTCGCTTATGGGCTTGTGTTCTGCCTACTGTACTTCTACTTCCTGGACAAGGAAGCAGACAAAGGTACATGTATAAATGCCCACAGTTCCCTATTTGCTTTGTTCACATGCTTCATGATTTGATAGACCTCCAGCCCCTCCCTCTTCCCCCAGCCTTCTTGTTTCCAAGCTGAAGTGTCTAGCCTTTTTTACTCTCTCCTGGTATGGCATCTTGGTTACCTTTCTCTGAACACTTTTCTAATTCTGTTGTGTTCTTTTTGAGTTGCAGAGACTAGAACTGAACTCTATTCAAGATCTGGGTACAGCATGGATTATGCTATTATAATTGCTACAACTTGTACCAAGTTTTACAGTTGCATTGCTCCTGACCAGTTCAGTTTAACCATTTTTGTGCTCATGGATAACAACATGCTGGGTTGCCCATCTTGGTTCTGCTGCTGTGTACCCTGTGGTAGCCATTCCAATCATGGATTGTCATCTACATAGTTTCCTCTCTCGGTGCCGTATCATCTTAAGAGCAGTCAAAGTAAACCTCTGGGTGGTGGGGGCCTCATTACTCCCAGAGGTCCCTGTGGCATTGTATGCTACAAAGATAAAATGCAAACTCCGTATTCCCCAGTAAATCTTGACTGTTTGTATATAATATCCTCCTTCTCTGGGCCCTAGTGGCTGCTTCTCCCATTCCTCACCTAAAGTGCACATGTGTCTACTGGGGATCCTAATGTATGCATCAAGCCAGGTGGAGTGAGAAGGTGAGAGAAACTGTGGCTGCATAGAGAGGGCCTACCAGGTAGTCTTCCCTCAGATCTTGAACCAATCAGTTTCTAGAATATTTAGAGAAGCTCAAGATAATTAAATGTTAAATTATCTGTAAAATATAACAAAGACCACAAACAAAGAAACAAAAACATGAATGCAGCAGAATTAAGAAACATAAAATGAGGGAAGTTATTGGAGTGGGGGTTAGAAACTTGAAAATAATCAAGCTCCTTACTTTCTTTCCTGTATTGCAGGCCTGGTTTTAAAAGCATTAGAGAAATTATCAGGGTGACCTGTACAATACTGAGGAGTAGGACTCTGTTATGGAATATCTTCATTCTTCCTTTTTGCACCATACGTATGAGTATGAGCCGGTTTGCTAAGTGTGCAACAGATGAAGTATCTTTTCGTTCGTTTGGGTGCTAAAATGCTTCCAACTAAGTAGTTCTAGCTAGAAAATGTCTCTTAGGATGGAATTTCTGGTTTAACTCAAGAAATTGGGATGAATGGGCTAACTTGAATATCTGAAGCAAAATCACTGTACTAATGTTGCTATGCTGCTTCTGGTATTTGAGAGCTTGCCCAGGTATGGTAATAGTCTTAATGTTTAATTCTGTTCTGTTTTCAGCTGCTCTTGGGGTTCAACAGCCTTCATTGCTTGGGGCTTCACCCACTATATATACCCAGCAAACGGCATTGGCAGCAGCAGGACTTACTACACAAACTCCAGCAAACTATCAGCTAACTCAAACAGCTGCTTTGCAGCAGCAAGCTGCAGCTGCAGCAGCTGCATTACAGCAGGTAAGCAAACTCCTATAATTTGTCTGATTATACCTGAACTTTGTACTCTAGAAAATGGTAGCTCTGTAAGACTGAAATAGCCTGATGAACGGCAGGTGAATGAAATAAAATTTACCAATTCTTAAGTTCCATGTTGAAAATTCCACGTACTTCACTAAACCCCAGTGGTGTAACTTTAGCTATATTTGGCACTATTTCCTATACTGTATTCTAGAAGTTACATTAAGTGGCAACTTTAATAGACAGTTCATTTAATTAGGTAAAATTCCAATTAGAATTTTTAACTGTGGTCCAGGGTAGATTAGATATAGAATAGATGTTTGCTTTTATCAAATTTGAGTAGTTTTAATACAAAAATTGTTAACTTCTCTTACGGTTTTAAAAGTTTTTTGCGGTTTTTATTTAAATTTGTGTTTTGAATCTTCAGCAGCTAGCTTTCATATTCCTGTGTTGGAGAGTAATACTTCCTGTTTATCAGCTGTTTTCTTTTGTCTTACAGCAATATTCACAACCTCAGCAGACCCTCTATAGTGTACAACAACAGGTTTGTTTAATTCTTATTGTGTACATAACAAATAACATTTTGCCTGTCTTGTAGGTTTTGTCTTCAGAATCTGCTTATTTTTCTTTATGGAAAATGTATATAATTTTTAATGATAGAGGAGAACTTTAAGTCTAAATTTACAACCATGGAAAGAAACTGCAGCATAGCAGTCTACGTTCTGTATGCAAGGGAAATTTTGAAGTGCTGTGCATGGTCTCTACTAAACTCCATGGTCTATATGAGACAATGTATTTTAATTGCAGGAAGACCAAAAAAGGATCTCTGTTACATACATTGTGGTCATACCTGAAAGTGCAAACCTTTAAGAAAGAATACATGGATAAGAAACTTGTAGGTGCTAACCTTCCTCAGATACCCAAAGTATCTATCTAGAAAGACTTCCTTATGTCATAAATTAGGTAATTTACAGTGACAAAAGAAAGTGGAGATGCCTGTTGCTGAATGCATCTGGAAATTAGTGGTCTTTAAAAGAACTGCACAGATGGATACAGTTTCATGGATATGCAGAATACAGAAATTACAGGACCCCAAAGCATTAACTTGAACTAAGCAAAAAATTCTTAATTTTTCCTGAGTTATAAAGAAGAGAAAACTGTTCAGTTTCTTGAGCATATAAAATTAATTTATAACTTTTTATTTTAAGTTGCAGCAACCTCAGCAGACCCTTTTAACACAGGTTAGTTTGGTTTTATTGTTTGGTCTTCATCCCCAAAGATAATAAGGGAGTACAAATTTGTTTTAAAAACAATCATTGTACTTTTCAGTGTACTGTTTTTGGATGCACAGAATTTATAGTCTGTATTAAAAACTTTATATGATGGAAATTTCATTTGTGCAGCTCTGTTTTATCAAATTTTAAAAATATGTATAACCTTAGTTTTTAGAATTAGGGAAAAGGAAAAGTAGAAGGAATAATTTCATATTGCCTTGCCAAAATCCAATTCAGAGTTCAAGCTTGTAATTATTTTACAATATAGAACAGTTTCTAAAACTCTTACTAAGATAACATAGAAATCAGGTTTCTTTAAGAGCATAGTTGCAGTATATGAGTATAAAAATTTTAAAGGGATTTTGTTGAGCTTCATAGACCAGAATGTGAAATTCAAAATATTTTTGATTGAATTGGTGATGTTCGCTTATGGGCTTGTGTTCTGCCTACTCTACTTCTGTGAGAGTGGACAAGGAAGCTTGAAACTGAGTCAGTGAGTAGGCTGAACACAGGCAATCTTAAGCATTGTGTCCCCACAAATCCAGTTGCTTGGACAAAGTGGTTGGTGGGCCAGCTGAGGAGTTATAAACTTCTTTAAGAGTGGTGCAGTCTACATTTCTATAGATCAAGTAGAGTTATTTCTTAGTATCAAGGATTCTACTAAATCTTAATTTAAAAGCTACAGTTTCCCCTTAGGGGTAATGTATGGTTTTGTATGCACTTTTGTTTTTGAAAGGTAAATATTTTTTCCAAAGTATGCTTTAGAAAGATTATTTTTAAACTTGCAGCTCCTTGAGAGGAAACTATTCCCTTAACATTATTAGTTGATTCAAAATGGTTAGAGTTTGATGCTTTATTTTGCTTCCAGCCAGCTGTTGCACTGCCTACCAGTCTTAGCTTGTCTACTCCTCAGCCAGCAGCACAGATAACTGTTTCCTATCCAGCACCACGGTCAAGTCAGCAGCAAACTCAACCACAGAAGCAACGGGTTTTTACAGGAGTAGTTACAAAGCTACATGACACATTTGGTTTTGTGGATGAAGATGTCTTTTTTCAACTCAGGTAAGTCATGTGTCTTTGCCTGCAGACATGTTTAGGGTGGCATTCCTAAATGATGTGCAATTCTATGAAAAACATTTCGACTCAGTGGCTTTGTGGTCGTTTTCTCAGGTAACATCTGTCTAGCAGCAGTGGTTGATAGCTACAAGTGAGATGTTTGAACAAGTTAGAAGTTGTTACCATTAGGCTCATAACATGAGCTCTCCTTACTCAGAACTCTATGCTAGGAAGTTCAAAGGAGTGTAAATGAACTAAGGGGGTGTGGAACTTCAGAATTTGGGGTAGTGGAAAGAACATAGCATGATGATTAACATGTGCATCTGGGGTCTGCTGGTTTGGGGTCATGAGCTAAGAATTCTAGTATTCTGCCTACTCCCATCTGAAGTAGACAGCAGTATTTTCACTGGATTCATCAGACTGAAGCTTTGGATTAGAGGTAGTCTCTCAGGTGCCCCCTCCCCCTTGCCTCCTTGTGGAATGCTTGAAGGGAGCTCTGAGGTTTACATTCAAATGCTTGAAGTCTTTGGTATTTGGCTTTAACCAGGTGCAATATGATGCAAGAAATCTTTATAAAATACTTCACATGTGACCTCTGCACTCGTTCTAATCTTCTTGAAGATTACAATATGCAATTGCTGAACCCAGAGCGTGGCTGTGCCTTACTGGAGGTGCTCCGATTAAAGATTTTTTTTTTTGGTCAGTACCAATGGCCAATTATTAACAAGCCATACTGGCTGATACTGATCCGATTGTTGATATGTAGCTTGGCAGCTTGGAGAGCATCATCCAGCTGGTAAGTCTGTTGGAGGGAAGGGGTGTGAAGGGTAGAGATTGAGGCCTCCACAGTGGGGAGGTAGTGGGGCTGGGGTAGGGGCAGGTGCTGCTCAGCTGGGGCAGGGTGCAGGATGGAGCCACAGGTTGTCTGGGGAGAGGTGGGGGCCACGTGTCCCCTAGGTCTATGCATGGGGCAAGGGTGGGCTGTGCGCTCAGGGCCAGGGTCTGTGCCAGTCACTTCCTGGTGCGGGGGCTGGGCTGTACTCAGGCTGGGCGGGGGGGTTGGGCAGCAGCGGCATTGGGAGGGGGGCTACAGCCACCCCAAAATTTGCTGTAGCTGCTCCTCCCAGCGCTGCTGCCTCCCAGCCCAGCTCCCTCTACCACCAGGAAAAGTCCAGCACAGCCTCCAGCCCTGAGCGCACAGCAGGCAATCTGCCCTCACCCACACACAGATCTGGGGGCACATGTGCCCTCCCATGCCTCCCCCGGGGTGTGCCCAGCGGTGCCGCTCCCCGCACCCCCTGGATGAGCCACTGCTCTGCCTTGTGCCCCACCCTGCCCTGCCTTGGCTGGGCAGCACCTGCCCCAGCTGCACTCCCTCCCTCACCCATGGGGCCCTCGATCTGCTCCCCCTCACCCCCCAGAATTAACTGGTTGAACACTTCACTTCAAGCTGTCAAGCTGCACTCCTGGCCATGTTTGTGCTGTCTGTGGGCGTGCCCTCAGCATTTATTGGTGACATTATCAGCCACATAAGTATAAAAAGTCAATTGCCAATAATGTCAATTTTCCTTTCATTGGTGCCAATACCATATAGACAGATGTATCGGTAGACCTCTACTAATAACTTATTTCACCATCTCCATAACTCTAAGCCTAAAATTAGGTTTTTAGCTTAACAGAAAGCTCTCTTATAATCAGGGATCCTGGTTTTCTCTCTTCAAAAATTACAACTTCTCTGATTTAAAGAGAATTTTTTTTGCAAATTCTTTGTTTTAAAACCCCTAAATCTTTTTTTTTTCCATGATTAAAATGAAATACCACTATGTATGTGGGTATCAGTTGAACACAATATTTTATTTATATATTTACAATTTTAAAGCAGTTCAGAAGCCTACTGGTGCCTCAATCACTATAATAAAATAATTATAAATACTTGTGAATTTTGGTGTCTGATTTTGGGTTTCCTATCATGGAAAATGAGAGCTCCCCCCAGCCCCTTTACTCACCAAGATGTGGGTCTGGCTACAGCTGTTACACTGCCGCCACCCCCCACCCTCTGCCGCCCACCCCACACTGCTTTGTAATGCTGAGCAGCCCTGGTATGCCAGTGCCCTGCCCATGCCATTGCCCCTCACTCCCCCCAGCCCTGTCTGCTGGAGTGGGGGCCTCAGCTGCCAGGGCTACAGGGCAGGGACCTGGGTCCACACACCCCTGCCCCCCCCCCAGCAGCGACCAAGCCCTGGCTGTCGCCCATGGGAGACAACAGAGGAGCAGAGGTTGGAGCCCATGGGGAAGGTGGGTGCAGGCGGCCCACTATGGGCTTGGGCTCCCCACTCTGCTGCCCTCCATCTGGGGCCTCTACAGCCCAGCAAGCAGGACCAGGCATGGCAGGGAAGAGCGGGAAACTTGGTGCTGCTGCCGCAAGCCCTGCGCCACCCTGGCAAGGCGGCCCTTGCTCACCCGGCAGCAATAGGGGGCACAACTCTGTCCTGCGCCCATCACTGTTCCTGGGCAGGCAGGAGGCTCCTTGCCATGGAAGCATGGGGCTAAGTGAAGACTGAGCTTCACCTGGCCCTGCTCGGCGCTGCTGCACTGGGTCCCACCCACTTGGCCATGGAGGCCCCAGGTAGAGGGCAGCAGAGCAGGGAACCCTGAGCCCACAGCGGGCAGCCTACCTTGTGCACAGATCTGGGGGGCATATGCCCCCCACGCCTCTCCAGGGAGTGCGTGCAGTGGTGGGGAGCCAGGGTCCTGTCTCCCGTCCCACCCCCCCATCCCTCAGACAAGCTGCCCACAGCTGGCCCCATCCTACTCCCTACCCAGGCCCTGTGGCTATGCATTCTGGCCCCAAGCCCCACGTGCCATCCAGGCTAGGCAGCAGACCCAGCCCTGCCCTACTCGCTCCCTCACTATTGGGGGCCTCAGTTGTCGTTCCCCCCACCCCACTGTCCTTGGCTCCATACTTACCTGTCGGGAGCTGCTCTCCAGGCTGTCTGGCAGCTATGTACATGTGTGAGCATGCACATGGCACCCCCTGCTGATTGTCCTCCTCCTGCTCCCCCCAGCCCCTTGCAGGCTGGAACTGTGCAAACCTGCAAGAGGAAACCCACTGTTTCCTCTGTTTTTCTCCTTTTAAAGGAGACAATCCAGGTTTTTTTCCCCTGAAAATGAGAAAATCTGGTTTTTACTGTGTTTTTCTGTGGTGAATGGAAAACTCAGATTCCTGCTTTACAATACAGCCTTTTTTTTTTTTCGGCAGTGCTGTTAAAGGAAAGACTCCTCAAGTTGGTGATAGAGTTTTGGTAGAAGCTACCTATAATCCTAATATGCCTTTCAAATGGAATGCACAGAGAATCCAGACTCTTCCAAATCAGGTAAATGCAGTTATCCAATCTAGTGCTTACTAATTTTTTTCTAATATTAAGGTCACTTTTACAGTGCATTTATTCTGTTTCCATTAGAATCAGACCCAGACTCAACCTTTGATAAAGACTCCTCCAGCTGTACTTCAGCCCATTGCACAGCAGCCTGCATTCAGTGTTCAGGCACAGCCACAACCGCAATCACTGTTACAGGCCCAAATATCAGCAGCTTCTATTACACCTTTGCTTCAGACTCAGCCTCAGCCTTTATTACAGCAGCCACAACAGAAAGGTATCTCTTCAATATACACAACTTGCTTTTGTTTCTCTCTCATTGATATGTGTAAAATTTTAATGTTGTTTCATCTTTAAAAAAAAATCACAAAAACAGATAAAATGAAAAGGATTGTAGTTGATTACAGATGGGCAAAGCTGTATAATTTATAATTATACATCCTATGGTACTCCGTAGTAATACCCCCAATAAAAATCCATGAAGTTCCTCAGGATTTATGATATAAGAATTTATTTTAGAATGTATAAATAAATTAACCTTGGGTTTTATTTTATGTTTAGATTTCTCACTGACGGTGTCATGCAGCTCAAACTAAAAACATAATTAATGATGTTAATTAAGTTATTAATATGCAAACAGTATTCAGAGATTTAATACAACTATAAAAGTATTCAGTATTTGTAACTCTTTGAGGCAGTTATTCCCAATTACTTGCTTATATCTAAAAGGATTTCTTTCTTTTTTTTCTTTTCTTTTTTTTTTTTAGCTGGTTTGTTACAGCCCCCTGTCCGTATAGTTTCACAACCTCAGCCAGCACGAAGACTAGATCCACCATCAAGATTTTCAGGGAGGAATGACAGGGGAGATTCTATCCCAAACAGAAAAGACGACAGAAGGTGTGTTGCTAATGATGAATCTACTTGTGGAGTTCTTCGTATGCTATGTTTAGGGTGCTCAACTATAAGTAGAAAAATTAATCTTAAAATGATAATGGTACAATCAGGTTATCTCCCATTTATCAAGTATTGATTTAAATGATGCCTTTAACTATTTAAATGTTTGTGGACCATACGGTCAGTTTTGTAACAAAGCATATTTTTCACTTTGTTTGACTACATTGTATTTTCGTCGCATAAGAGGCCTGCTTCTTTCTAAAATTGCGTTAGCTTCTACAATGAGAAATACTTACCTTGTACGTTTTTTAAGTCGTGAAAGAGAACGAGAGAGACGTAGGTCACGAGAGAGGTCACCTCAGAGAAAACGCTCCAGAGAGAGATCACCTCGGCGAGAGAGAGAAAGATCACCTCGGAGACCGCGTCGTGTTGTCCCTCGTTACACAGTTCAGTTTTCCAAGTTTTCCTTAGACTGGTATGTTCATAGAATCTCCTTCCTCTTTTGAAAATGATTTTTAATTTGTCAAATGGTATAGCCTGAAAATGATCTTGGATTCTTTTTTGGTTTAATTTATTAAAAGCAGCTTGTTTCTGGACTACAGAGGGGGGATAAGTTATAGATGTTGTAATTCTGTCAGCCACACGTGTAAATCGGACCCAACACTTTTGGATGTTTTGGTTTACAGAAGTTCCAGCTTAACTTGCTCAGCTGACCTAACATTATTCTGCTAGTGGTACACCACATGCTTTGTTTTGGATCACCTGCTGGTCCGATTGATGTGCAGATCTGCCTTATACCATCCATCTTCCAGTAACTTGATCCATAGGAGTCAGGGATTACTTAGAGGGCTGATCCTTTGTGGCTTTCTATCAGTCAGATCACTTCATGCTTCGTAAATAAATGTGTGGTTAGTTTCTCACAGTTTCTTTTTTTTGCAACTCATATTTCCAGTTTGTGCTATTCATGCTTTCTGGTATGTAGAAACTGTTAAAGTATGAATGTTCTGACAACAACCTGTTCTAAGACACACTTCTTGCAAGTCTCAGTGTATGTGGATGTTTCTCAATAGCTTTCTTTGTATGATCTTCAATCCATCAACATTTCAGTCTTTACTACAGTTTCTTGTATTTCCTCATTGACTGCTCCCTTTGTTTTACTGACCCATAGTTTCTTTATTTCTACAGCTTTGTGGTCTGCATGTCCAGTCAGGGACCATATTTTGACTAAACCATATATGTTGCTATTGGTATCAGTAGCATCAGCGTTAAATATTAACAGCCTCAAATTTAAAGGGAAGGGCCAGTATCAAATGACTTGGGAGTCTTGTATCATGATTTGTGCTAAATTCTGTAGAAGGCAGCTAAGCATGGTGCTGTTTGCTAAATGAAATATTAGGCTCTTTTTCTGTCACTTTGGATAATTTTACAAGATATATTTGTATTGTTTCTTTGTTATTTTTAGTTAGTATGTTTCAGTTCTGGTTTCATTCTCTATTTTCAGCCAACTTGTAAGTGTGTGTATTTTTCAAATCCTTTCGTTTGACAGATATTATTTAACTTTTCTAAAATGTAAATTTAGAAGAGTGTTGAAAAAAAGAGAAATGTTATGGTAGAATTTTAACTATCAAATGGTTAATTTTCTGAGCATTGCTATTGAAATAAAATTAGATGTGATCCCTGCTGTTAGTATTTTACAATCTAAAGTAGCACTGTGGGATTCAGCATATTATTGGTGGCATTTCTAGTGAACGGTTAAAAAAAATCTTAGTAATGTACCCTTTTAAGATTAAGATCTCTTTATTACTGTGTGCTTCAAAATAAGTCTTCTTCTTACAGCCGTAGTTGTGATATGATGGAATTGAGACGACGTTATCAGAACTTGTATATTCCTAGTGACTTCTTTGATGCACAGTTTACATGGGTGGATGCTTTTCCTATGTCAAGACCATTTCAGTTGGGAAACTACTGCAATTTCTATGTCATGCACAGAGAAGTAGAATCTTTAGACAAAAATACTGCTGTTCTTGACCCACCAGATGCTGATCATCTGTACAGTGCAAAGGTTTGTATATCACCTTATATTTTGGTGCTCCATTAGAAATTGTTTACAACGCAACAGAACTTAGGTTTCACTGCACAAGTGTGTTGTTTTCTCTTCTTCCCCATAGGAATGACTTTCTTCAGAGCAGATGTTCTTAGTTGATTATATTTAGTGTGTTAATGTGTGCATTAATAGATCTAAAAATGAAAATGAACTTAAGGATGATTTGCAGATACTTAAAATAATCAGTAAAACTAGGATAATGCTGGATTATGGATCAGCAGCAGTGAGTTTTTATTATTTGGCTTCTGGGTTCTGTTTCCAGCTCTGTCAGTCTGTAACATTGGTTAGGTCACTTACCTGTTTTGTGCCATGGCTTTATTCACCTGTAAACTGAGCTATGATTTGATCAATGCATGAAAGATTTTGTTTTGTTTTTTATCAAGATATTGCTAGTTACCTTTTACCAGCTAAAATACTACATTATGATAACATTAAGACTGTTTAAAAAAAAAAGATGTAATCTTAAAACTAAAAACTTGGGAAATTAAATGGTGCAATTGGTCTAGACAGAAGTGAGATATAATTTTTCTGAATATGGGAAGCTTCCTGGCTTTCTTTAAAGCGGTGATACAGGTCAAATTTAGGCATTTGAATGTGCTTACTGTACTTTGACACATTTTCCTGTTTGGCTTGCTTAAGTTTAATTACAATGTTATCGTGTCTGTAACAAAATCTAAATAAAGCATGTTATGATGGTGCTCAGAGCCAAAGATCCATGGCTGAAATCATAAATGTACTCGGCGCTGATTTCTGTTTAAACAATTCTGTATATAATGCTAATCTAAAATAACACAAGTTGTCTTTAAATATAGATGGTTTCAATTGCTTAATATAATTCCATGCTTTTGTATACTTAAACATGCTAATAGAACCTAAACAGAAAATTTACTACTTGACTCCTCTCCTCCCATTTTGGGGGTTTTAAAGGTCATTAATCTAAGGTAGGAAGAACTAGTGTTATTTTGCCTTGGTTGGTATTTTAGACCCCAGTCTAAAATGCACTATAACTACCTGTGCATGGTTTGAGCTTTTTATACTCACTAGGCTTGTTGACTTGAATGGGAATATTTAAATGCATAAGTACTTGCAAGCTCTATATATTATTTACCACAGATTCTGGTGTCTTAACCAAGTTGAACTATTTGATTCATATAATAGGTGATGTTAATGGCTAGTCCTAGTATGGAAGATCTCTATCATAAATCATGTGCCCTTGCTGAAGATCCCCAGGAACTTCGTGATGGATTTCAGCATCCTGCTAGACTTGTTAAGGTAATTTGTGTTTCAGCACTAGGTGTCTTGGAAATTTCCAGCTGCGGAACAGGGTTCTAAAACTTATGTATTCAGATTTAAACTGTTTAGAGAAACTTTAAAAGCAATGCTTATTTTTATGTAGTCTTTTATACAATCATCAAAACGTATGCATGTCTCAGCAATGAAGCACGTCCAAATGAAACGATACTTGAGCAAATGTATTCCTTTTGTCAAAGCTGATATTTAACTATGAACCATAGATTTAACACACTACTGCTACAGAAGGCACTACTAAGTTTTTTAAAGACCAATACATTTGTCTTTTTTTAGTCTGTTAAAAGGCTTCATATGTCTACTCTGAAGTGACTTAAGGGTAAGATGGCAGTATTTAAACCTATTCTCATTAATGCAGTTAATGAGAGAGTGGACTTGAAGATCCAAAACTACTTTCTGTCCCACTGTGACTGTGTTTGGAAATGGTCTTGCTTTCCAGCCTGAGCTATTATGTAGGTTTCTAGATGTTATTTAAAGGTATCTGTTTGCTCTTGAAATATGGTTGTGTATCGGTGGATGATCCTTATATCACTTACATGTCAACTGATGTATTTTGAAAGCTTTGGATCAAACTTGTGATATAAATGTAAAATCTTGTTTAAAAGGAAGCATTTATATACCTCTGAAGTAAAAAATGAACTGTTTCACCATTTAATTTATAAAGGGTAGGTCGTCATATTACCATATTACCAAATTATTGGCCCACAAAATAACAAGCATCTGTCTGTCAGGTAATAGTTAATGAAAAGTCTTGCAAAGCAAGAATGAGTGGTGATGTTTTAAACCTATTCCATTTCTGAAACATACTGTGGAAAAAAATAACTGAACTCTTTCTTGTCTGAGACTTTCAGTTAAATGTTTTGACGTCTTTTTAGTAAACTGAATGGTATGTTTCCTGCTACATATATTTTCTAGTATTCTTACAGTTTAGGGAACTGTTTTTCCTAGCAGGGAAGCATTCAGTAGACTCTTTTTGTCTAGTTTTTAGTGGGTATGAAAGGCAAAGATGAGGCCATGGCTATTGGAGGACACTGGTCCCCATCACTGGATGGACCTGATCCAGAAAAGGACCCTTCGGTGCTGATTAAGACGGCTATTCGTTGTTGCAAGGCCCTAACAGGGATTGACTTAAGTGTGTGCACACAATGGTAAGTACTGTCCTCCAAAATAGAATGTACTGCACAAATATTTGATTCTTACAGAAGTGCTTTAGAAAACCAAACTTCTCTTTGTCAGCAGTTTGTGATGGTTCAGGTAAACTTTTCAAAGAGTTGTTCTGTTTTGTAATGCCAGTTTGGTGCCAAATGTGCTGAATAATATAATAGAGCTAATTTAATTCTGGATTTGTTTTGTTGTTATGCTGTAAGTTTGCAATGGATGTTTGTTGAAAATGCTTTTCATTTCATGCATAGCTGAAGAAGATCGTCAAGAGAACTTCATTTCATTGTTCTTTTGTTATAAATAATTAGCCCTTGGTTACATAGCCATATTTTCTCTTGAGTTTGTTTTTTGTCCTGTGTTTAACACTTAAACTGACAGAATGTCAGTGTGCAGGTTGTACTGTACACTAAATATAAAAGATATTCAGTTGTCTTCTTTAATTTGAACTTCACAGTAGCTTGCATAAATTAGCAGGCACATTGCTTTACCTAAAGCAGTTAGCATATTGTTTGTTCCTCTCTATTTTAACTTGCAGTACAAAATACAAATGTGCCCAAAGAGAAAATATGGCGTTCATAATTTTTTTCTTTAGATAAACCTCAAGTTCTTGCAGCAAAATTTCTTTACTTGATGTGCTACAAGTGAACTAGGCTCTTTAAAATGTATTGTAGAATTTTTTTTCCAACATGCTTCTTCCCTTGCAACAGGTACCGTTTTGCAGAGATTCGCTACCATCGCCCTGAGGAGACCCACAAGGGGCGTACAGTTCCAGCTCATGTGGAGACAGTGGTTTTATTTTTCCCGGATGTTTGGCATTGCCTTCCCACCCGCTCAGAGTGGGAAACCCTCTCCCGAGGATACAAGCAGCAGCTGGTCGAGAAGCTTCAGGGTGAACGCAAGGAAGCTGATGGAGAACAGGCACTGAACGCTAATCCCTTTTTCTATTTCTGCTTCTCACAGGCACAGGAACACAGGCACAAAATGCACACCACATACTACACAACAAACATACATAGGAGGAACATAACTGGTAACAATGACTGGTAAAGCAGCTTTCAGCAGTGTAGTGAATGTTGTTTATCTTTATTTCAGCTAGTATACTAACTTTTAATGTGTGCTGATACCACAAGTGGAAGTAAAATGTGCTTATGATGCTCAGAGCATTTCTTATCTTTAGAACTAGATGCTGGAATCTGGGACCAGTTGAGTGAGATTTCAGTATTACTAGCCGTCTTAAACATTTTGCCATTTTCTAAAATTTCTAAACTTTTTCTTGTGGCCGGCTCTGGTTATGATATTTGAATTTGGACAAGCAGTAGTCGGAAATATTTGAATTTCAGGCCATGTGGCTGATCAGCATCTTGGAATAAGGAAAGGTCTGACTGAATCAAAAAAAACTGGGGAATTTGAAACATGGGGCAAGATCACACACTGTATGGTTAATGGAAACCAGTGGTGTCTGTGTAACCCCAATATTCTTTGTGGTGTTCTTTATCACCCTTTTGTATTTTACAGATCTGGCTTTTATTGGCTGAGTGGCACTGTGATCATTTATAAAGTGGTAGAATGTGTGTGTGAACATGTCTAAACAATAACTTTAGGAGAAGACTTATCTGAAACAGTTGTGACCTTGCACAAATCAGCAACAAATTTAAAAATAAATAAATAACTTCCAAACTTTCTGGATGATAATTCCTTAATTTTATTTGTCAGGATGAAGAGGAAAAAGATGATGGGGAAGCTAAAGAGATCTCTACTCCTACACACTGGTCTAAACTGGATCCGAAAACAATGAAGGTAACACATTGACTATCTGAAATTTCTTTCACGATACTTTCATTTTTAATTATATTTATCTAAACTAGTATTTACATGATTTTTGAGAGTTAACAGCAGCAAATTTTTTCTGTTATTTTTCCTTTTTAACATAGTAGCTCATTATAGATGTTCCGGCTAAGGTCCATTTAATTTCAGCAACAGTCATAACTCTGAATTGGACACTTTATGCTACGTACAATTTAGGGAAAGCGGTTCATATCAGCTAGGCTTCATTTATTGAACTGAAAATGAAAAGCCAGATCCCTTCAGACCCATCTACTTGCATGTAGAGTCTGTTTAGAGTGGTGGAGGTATCTCAAAGAAGAGATTAGAGTAGAAACACAGATAAAGTTCCTGATGCCCATTTTCTTTGCAAGTATTTTGTGTATTTGATTTATACAGCTACAGTGTACATATATCATACTTCGGACCCTTTATTAGTTGTTCCAGTATTGATGAAAAGGGACTAGCTGTTGGGTAAAATTTGCTTTTCTAACTTTACCTTTTGTTGTTGATGATCTGTCACTCTTTCTCTGATTAGTACCATTTACAGAACTTCTGTGTACTAGGTAAATGACCTTCGCAAAGAGTTAGAAAGTCGAACTCTTAGCTCTAAAGGACTGAAATCGCAGCTGATTGCCCGACTTACAAAGCAGCTGAAAGTAGAGGAGCAAAAAGAAGAACAGAAGGAGTTGGAAAAATCTGAAAAAGAGGAGGAAGAGGAGGAGGATAGGAAATCTGAAGATGACAAAGAGGTTGGCTTTTAAATGCATTTGATGCAACTCTGAAACTGTTAGGCAATAAGAAATTGGTACCTACTTACATTAAAGTTTTAAAGTTGGCGAGAGGATTGGAAGCCCAAGGGAAAATGTCTCTTACTGTAACTTAAATTGTTTGAAAGTTAAGCCCCGAAAGCAGTAAAAACTTGGCTAAGATGTATTTTCATTTCTTAAAGTTCAAAATTTGCTGACCTAACGTCTGCATAAATGGCAGGCCATTCCTGGTGTTTATTTGTGTCCTGCTTCTGTGCCATGACCAGGGATCCTGGTTTTCTTGGTTTAAAATTTGTAAGTTCTCTGATTTTAAAATACTCCGAATTCTCTGATTTAAAACACCCTGAATCTGATTTTTCCATGGTTAAAATGAAGTGCCAGTAGATAAATATAGAGATATAGAAAGAGGTATATGTATGTATCACCACAT